GAGAGAGAGAGAGAGAGAGAGAGAGAGAGAGAGAGAGAGAGAGAGAGAGAGAGAGAGAGAGAGAGAGAGAGAGAGAGAGAGAGAGAAAGAGATGCTTCCAGAAGGTCTCAGATAAAATGCTCATTGGGATCATGTATGTGCCTGGGCATACTCGGTGTGTTCCCATCTAGAGATAGTCAACTGGCACCCTAGGCCAGCATTAGCAGGGCCACAGCCAACATCCTCCGGTGTAACTGAACACTGCTGGCTGTCGCACACCTCTAGTGTAGGCTGGGTAGGGGGAAACGGGAGGTGCAGTGACTTGCCATAGTGTTACCCACTAGCACTGCTGGGATTTCCACCTGTAATGCCTCCCGAGTCCCACATCACTGTGGTGAGGGGCTGTTACAGCTTGGCTCTCGCCACCAGCACTCAGAACACAGTGGGGCAAAACGTACCCCATGGGCTAGGGAGAGGTACTGGTCAGTGGGTGTTCCCCATAGTGTACACATAGTAGAGATGAAGAGCCGAATAAATGAAAAGAGGAAGTGATGATAGAGCTGAGATGAAAGAGAACAAAGAAAAGATGCACCTGCCGAGTGGCTGAGTGGTATGCACTTGCCACGACACCCAGCAGATCCACTCCTTCAACAAGTTTGAAGGCTCCGTCGTTCAAAGGAATCACCTGCTCGGGGAAATACGACTTAGGCTTTTTTTTTTTTTTTTTGTAAGGCTAATAGCAGTGCTAGCTTTAATTTTGTTTCTGTAGAGATATTGCTTAAGGTGATGAGAATGTGAACCCTAGCATGGCTGTCACATCGTCTTCAAGCACGCAGTGGGATGCGGACGCCAGAACCGTTGATAAACAGGTCTAGAGTTGAAGTCCTGTTGATAGAGTGAACTTTTAAGAAGACAGATCGCTCCTGAAGCTGTGAGAAGATTTAGCTCAGGTTTGGACCACATCTTATCTCTTGTGAGGGCGTATCCAGGCCGTCTGGAACCTGGAAATTGCCTGACTTTGTACGGCATATGCAGCAGCAATCATGATTCCACAAAGAAGTCCCGCGGTTGCTCGCTGCTTTCCTGGGCCCAGAAGCAGTGCAGTAAAGCCCGTTAATAAAGAAAGACCTACACAAACGTTCCGCAGGATGCAGAAGTTCTTAAGCGCTCGTAAGCAAGTAGAGCAGTTCACCACATGCCACCAGTACCTGTTAGTTGGGTTCGGCAAATACATGGAACCGATGTTGCCCTGCACAGCACTTGAGGCAGCCACTGCTGCTGCTGGTGTGGGATAGACATGCATCCCACCATTGACTMGYGATGCGTCATCCACAAGCTTGGASGTCCTATAGCCYTCATAGTATGGCATGCCATGGCCAACTCTATCRAGCCATTTCCKATATTCMATSAGAAGGAGATCGGATGTMTCCAGTGCGAGGTACAGCCTGCTTAGTGGCCTGTCTCTCAGAAGTGCACGAGCATATGCCTCTTGAGATGCGAGCARGCCCATGTCTTGTTCGAGGAYYAWTGTASCATTCAGATGKAWRAACCAGMGAGGAATGYRATTTATTATRTTAYTCCTCAGGTACSCTCTGCTGAACAGCCTGGAACGGCCAAAGCCAAGAGGAACACAGGAAAAGATGGATACCTGATATAAATTGCCAGCACCCTTCTCATCCACCTGATTGACATGATACCCTTCGGACGAGTAACACAGGAAGTTGATCACATGGCATGGCGCAAGGAATTGGGACTTGAGCACCATAACCTTTGCTGGTAAATTTGGTCGGTCTGTGATGGGATAGATGCCCTTGAAGCCGCGATCTGATCGTTCAACAATCTGCATTTTCATTGGACCTGCATAAGCTCGACGCCCACCACCCAGTATTCCGTCATGCGAGATGTGGAGGTGGGCAGGATCCATAATGTTCTCAATCAGAAAAGAATGATCGTAAGGAAGGTCCGAGAGCGAATCGGAAATGTTGAAACCTGGATATGAAAAATCCGGAAGCTTCTGAAGTGCTTTATCTAGGAAGTTGGTTTTCGAGGAAGATTCGTCTTTCCCGTTGTTTTCGTTCTTGCCGCCCCGAAGCAAATCTCTTGTAGCTGTCATGAAGACAAAGATGCATCCATCCTTCTCCACAACAGGGTAGGTTGTCAAGCACGCTGCTTGTGGGATCTTTGCCCCTTCTGCCAGCTGTGGAATCTGCACGCATTTCCCAGTCTCTCCCTCAAACTGCCAACCGTGATATAAACACTCTAATCTCCCATTCAACAACTGCAACAATTACCCAAACGAAGATTCATCAATCAGCTAGAAAGTCTTCCAATGCTCCAAGCACAACCCACAGCCCCAAAAGGCACAACAACATGAAACTCCTCTCCCAAACATTCTTCATTGCTTCTTCTTCATCATCATCATCATCATCATCATCATCATCATCATCATCATCATCATCATCATCATCATCATCATCATCGAATGTTGCATCTGAATCCATGTCAGGTACCATATAATTCT